GTTATCTCGGGAGCCAGAAGAGCTAAGAGGTTGAAAATTTTAGGGGGATGTTTTCTGCTTAAGCATGGGCTTCACAAACTCATATTCAGTTCTTAAGCATGCCGAGGCCTCACGTACGACCACGTTAAAGTTTTATCTCAAAAATCACTCGAAAGTCAGAAAATAAGGAAGTTGTAATTTTAGAAGGATATTCAAATTCGGCTTTCATGCACTGGTGCATGAAATTTTTAGTGGAAAATTCCACAACTTAGGAACTGGACAAAATTTCAACGATTTTTTCACAGGCCAAAATGCAAAGCAATGAAAATTCTTAGCAGGCAAGTGTTCGTTTGATGGGAAGCGCATGATCGCACTAGCTGCCCTGGTGGACATCCCTATTTATTTCCTCTGGACTTCGGATCTCACTGTTAACGTAGCGTGTAGCAGTTGGACGCTAGCGGAATCATTGTGTTACGAGGAATACTACACGTCCAGTTCGCTGTCTGAAATTAGAGCCGTTAGCTTAACTCTTTGTATTGCTGCCGCAGACAGCGGTGCCTGAGAAATACACGCACAATATGCTGGCGCTGACAGGCAAGAGCTGTTGCTTAGCCTTTTGTGTCCATCTAGATAAAGCCTACGCTTCAGTGTGTTAACAGTGGTTTCTTTCTTTTTTCTAGGCGACAACTACATGAAATGGATACTCGCGACCGCGCTGTGGTGTGTACCTTGCTCCATCCACATACTGCATTCTTTGCAGAGCTTGCACTAATACGTTTGCGATTTTTAGGGCGCACTAGTTCTTCCGTTAGTGCCAACTGCGACTGATGCTGTTTAAATACGCGCTTGTCGTCTCTGCTCCCTTCCACACAAGTGTTATGATATATATATTATTTATATATATATAAATAAATTTTTACTGTTTTTATATAGGCTTACTTAAGATGATAAATTTCTGTTGTTTCTTTTAAGCAAAGCTAACCCAATGCCAGAAACTGTCAGTTCCCAAAACTTCTACTTGAGATTTAGTCTGTCCCTGCTCCCTTCTCTTCATTTTATTTATTATTCAGTAAATTTATTCCTTTTTATGCGTTTTTGCTGTGCAGCGCTATAGCTGCGCTATAGCGCTGCTACAGCCAGCGAAAACGCATGTTGTCGAGAGGCTGTGTGTGTGTGTGCGCGCGCGCAAAGCGAGTGCATCCTGTCACCCACTTTCAACTCGGCAACCAGGAAAGCCGGGGAACTGAAACTTCGGATATATGTTCCTACCCCGTGTGTCATCCTCCCTTCTTAAGATCTTCCCTCATAC